TCACCCATATTAGTTCTATTACAAGCCCTATAAAATACAACAACAAAAAAAAAGCTATGGGATTATGGCTTTATTTCGGTGTACGTGAGGGGTTTTTTACGTGAATAGGGTGGTTGTGAGTTTTTCTTGGGAAGAGGAAGGGGTGATAGTGGTATGTTTTGTCGGGGAAGAGGGTGTAGAAATGGTGGCAGCGGTTTATTTAAATAGCAAAGAGGAGTGATCGTTTTTCGGGAAAATAGTTAAGAGTCACTAGAACTTCTTCAGGGAAGAGGGGGGGGGGGGGGTGGTGTGGATGAAGGATAAATGTGCCAGTCTTTTCTTCGTTAAGCAATGTGTGCCAATGTGCTCCACCCTTTTGGATGGGACTAAAATATGGTAAATTATTGATATTTGACTCGGCCAATATTATGTATTGTTCTTGTCACGTCCGCTCCAAATGCCTGTCAAAAAGGCTTGTTCTATTATGTCTAGTTAAGTACCATCCACCAAAAAGAAGAAGAAAATTGAAATATGTAACAGATAAATTACAACAACTAATCGTATACTCATACTCTCTTATCGGCTCTAATAGTATTCAATTTCTCAATAATACTTTGTTACTCTCTCTCTCTCTCTCTCTCTCTCTCTCTCTCTCTCTCTCTCTCTCTCTCTCTCTCTCCTATCATAATAAATCTTTCACTCGAGATTAAAATATGAATCGCGATTTGTCTCAATCATGTACAATATTTTGACATCCCTAATTTTTGCAGGGGCCGCTAAACATTTTCTTTATGCTTATATAAAACAAAGTATACTTTTGAAGAATATCATCATCAAACATTTTCAAAGAAATAATTTTCATTAATATTTAAAAACCCCGGATGTCATAACTGGTATAGGAAGCATAAGCATAATCTAGTCGTTACAAGCCTTACAATTCTTTATTTTTTTAATATCAATAATCTCCTTCAACACCTGGAAGATAGAATTACTTATTCCATAACCTTCTTACCGCTACTTGTGATACAAATAAACTGAGTGGGTTAGGATTAGGAGCCTGACGAGCACATAGGGTTTTCAACCCACAATAATATAATTAAAATATTTTAAATATATATTTCACACCAAATATTTAACTCGATTACTCATTCTCGTTATTCTCACTCTCTGATCCTAAAATTCACATCTGAAGAGACTTATCCTAAAGGATCACTGTAAGCAACAAGTATACAACGTTTCAGGGTTCCGAAAAAATATATGTCAATAAGGTAACCTTTGGGGGGAATAAAGTACATAAAATGAACTCATAGTTCATTAATACCTACAGATTACAAGTTTGCAATGTTCTACTCGATTGTCTAGAATAGTCTGTGGTCATCATCTATACTCTGCTAGATAACTTATTCATCAGTATAATGACACTATAAAATTCACGACCTCACATCTTTATTTGACTCTTCGCAACCCTTTTCTACCCAACAATAGTTTAAGTACGATAAAATAAATAAATCAGTACTTTTAATAAAACATTATTTAAACCAAGTAAAATCATATATAATACAAGTATCGTAAATACAAAAAAATAAGCACATATAACATTTAAGCAATTTAAATACTTTGTATCTATGTGTAAGATGAAAGTAACTACCCACTTACCTGTTAAAGGTGGATGATTTGCGGAAAAGTTATATCTTTGACAAATAATTTTTGCTTTCCCTTTTAAACGACTTATAAATAAAATATTACTCAACCTTAGTCATTGTTTTATATTTTTCGTGATTATAGTTATAGTTTCTCAGATTTTATTAATAATTCCAAATGAAGCACTGAATTATAGCTTATAAGAAACAACCAGGTAGCACCGTCTCGGAGGTAGGATCCGTTTAACATATAAATATATGCTGTTTGGAAAATCCACTTGAAACACCTTACTGATCTAGCCTTGTCATCATTCCCGTAAGTAGAACGATCAGTATAATGACCGGTATTACTGATAAAATTCTATTTGTAAGCTCATAATTATGATTATAAAAATAAATATAAGTTATACTTAAAGAATGGTAAGCACAACTCAACTTACATGCTGTTTAACAGAAAACCAGACAACGCACGGGCAAAAAATTCAAAACCGAGAACTCTAGTTCAACAGGCTCTCTAGTGCTCTACAGCTTCGCTACTAATGCCTAAGAAGTACTAGAACTGGGCCTCAATGGTGCAGGGGAGTTTGGAAGTGTTTGGAAGGAATTGAGCACCTAAACATGCAAGAAATTGCTTCTATGTATAGGATTTTTCAGAGGGGGCGCTGCATCCTGGACCGTGTCATGATCTGAGGCCTTGTCATGGGGAGGAAGGGTGGAGTAGGATTGTTATATCTACCTCCCTCTGGTGGTGCCACGTGTCGCTCATCCGACGACATGAATTTATGATTTTTCTAAAAATCTAAACTTTCGCATACAAGCTCCATTTCTGACGGTCTTTATATCTACGCATAGCTATCAAAGAGTACGATAACTTTAATTTAGACTTCATCGGCTAATTTTCACTTTAAGTTTTGGGTTTAGGTTCGAGGAGCCTTAGACTGTAAATAACACTTCAAAATTCATAACTTCTACATACTTACTCCGTTTTCGATGTTCTTTATATCCACGTGTAGCTATTTCTGAGTACAACAACTTTCATTTAGATTGTTTCGTTTAACAATCAACCAATTTTTATATCGATTTCTTTGTTGCACACTGGTGTACTATGTCACACTAGAAACTTCAAATAATCATAACTTTCTAATACGAAGTAAGATTTTTCCAATTTTATATCAACGCGAAGGTATCGACGAGTACTTCGACTTTCATTTTGTTCACTTATCCTAATTACCCATATATTTTTAACGATTACTTTAGTCCTATTTATTTTCAACCTCAAACAGGGCAGATGTATCCTACAAAATTCTAGGTTCAATCCAACCAATCTAAGATTTGGAATTTCCTAACGAATTACTTAGATTTCCACAAGGATTGACTCAACTCGAATCTGCTATGAGTGGTATAACGAATAAGCAACATCGAAAAACTGATACCGAACACCCTAAACCAACCCAAAGAATCATCTATCTAAGGGTTTTAAAAATTACTAATTCCTAAAATATAGTATCAAACATTCCCATTTGGTCAACACTCATTTGTATAAGAGTTTTAGAATTTCCCAAGTTGACCCATATTCAATGATTTGATCATAAAACAAAATCCACAACTCCAAAAGAGATAATATCAAACTTTCTGGAAACTAGAATCGATTTCCCACAACTTTGATCTTGTGAAGCTTTTGTCTAGTTCAGGTAAGAATGGCCTATAGCCCTTGCAAGACAGGCCAACGATTCTATCAAGATTTAACTTTGAATCAAGAAGTCGTTTTAGGCTTTAGGGTTTGGCTTAACCCATCAAGACCTTATGATAATTCGTTTTGTAGTTAGTTTGAATCGAGTTTAAAGAACAAAATCCAGAACAAAAAGCATTAAGAACACCGTCGTAAATAAGTTATGTTTGGCTCGTTGATTAGTATGAAAGAGTATACAAGTACAAGAGAGAGAAAGTGAACGAAGTGCCTAAAAGCTACTCTCTACTTCTATACTAACCCTATTTATTTATAGGGTGATACAGACTCACAAAAAATATGTAAGGACTAGAATTTAGGCTTTGACATATTATAGTGTCTTACAAAATACATACAGATCAAAGTGCTAGACTTCGAAATTATACAGACCAAATAAGACTTCGACACCTCACAAGTACTTGTGCCATGCAAGTCGGAGTATCTTTCATTGTGACTTAACTCTTTTTCAGTTAAATGTTTATTTGAAAGCTTATCATTCTTTCAGTTAAGTTATATTATCATATATGTATCTTTCATTGTGACTTAACTCTTTTTCTTCATAACTTCAAATCAAATATCACTTTACATCACAAGTACTTGTGCCATGCAAGTCGAAGTAGCGAACGTGGAAATTTCGGGTGGAAGTCAAGAGCCACTTAGAGCATTTTACTAGCTGGGTACACAAGTAACGAATGGGGTAAATCTCGAGATTAGGAGTTACTAGGAAACCCCAAATTTATTTAAATAGTTGAATGATGATCATGTATAGTAACAGTTGAATAACATTATATATGATAAACAATGGAAATAATGTGGGATATATAAACAAAGAAATTGATGTGTGTTTGTGTGTGTGTGTATATATATATATATATATATATATATATATATATATATATATATATATATAGGTGTGTGTGTGATTGAAACAAATTATGTAATGTGGTTGTATGCTCATTGCTATGTTTGGTATGTTGTGAAATAAGATGAATATGTGCTTATCATAAACTATATGGATGACCCATCACATGATTGTATGTTTTCCCCTTGTTGTGTACAACTTATCGAGTCAAGAAGCATTTGCCGACAATTGTTTCTTTTATATATACCTTTATAACTGGTTCAGTTAGCTTATGTGCATGAATTGGAGAGGTTGAGTTTCTTTTTGGATAGTTTGCTTTTAATAATGATTCTATTTGGACAAGTTTTGTTTTACTAGTGTATTTTACTTACGCAACAATAAAACGTTTTAATGTTTGTTTTTTTTAAGGTCGGTAACGGATGGTTTGTTTGGAAATGTAATTATATATAGTTAAAGTCTTCCATTGTGTTTCCGTTAAAAATGTTTTAAAATAAATGAAATAAATGGAGTAAAAATCACGGCATTTTAAATGATTACACCATCTCGTCTAATAATTTTATGTCCAAAATTTTATTACTTTAAATTTAAATTGTTATTTATATAAAACCATGGACATGCAAAATTTAATGTTTGACTTATAATTCTTTTTTTATTAAATTGAACAATAAATGCAATTAATATAAAACATGAAAAAATTAATGTTTGATTTTCAACAATAAATGACTTTGATCTTATGTTCTATATAACTAGACGTCACTACATATAATCTATCAATTATCAATTGTATATCAAGATGTATACGTCCGTGATTCGTTACACATTTCTTGTGTTTCTCGTCACCGTCGGTAATGTCTACTATCTCTCTTCATTTTTATTAAAAAACTTTAATTACAAATTCATAGAAATGGATTTTGTTGCTGCAATTAGCATGTCCGAGTAAATAATATAAAACCCTTAATATTAGTTTTTAATGTTTATGGGGTTTTTTTGCTATTTGTTACAATAAAAATGCGAGAACAAGATAGAAAACATGTTCTAGATTGTAGATTTATTGATCATTACTTAGTGTAGCATAGTATTACTTCAATACAAGTGGTTGAGGGGTTAAATATTGTATGAGACTATGATTTAATTTAGGAGCTGATTAGTATATGTGTGTCGTTCTAAAAAATTATTATTATCATATGAAAAATCATACATGTTTTTCCAAATTTGTAGGTGTGGAGTCGCTCATTGCCCCAATTTGTAGTGACACTCAATTTTTAGCGCCATGTGAACGATATACATGTATTCACGTATGTCAAAGAGTACATGGATATTATGCCATTGGAGCATGCAAAAATGCAGTTGTGTGTCGTTGTTATTATGATTGTAAACTTAAGGCCGGGAATCATATCAGTAGTCAAGACGATCATGTACCTTTTCACCCTAATGGTTCCCCTCATAGTTTGCCTACTATTAAATAAGAATAAAAAACTCTAATGTTTAATCGCTACAAATGTCATTTAAGATTTTTTAAGACATTGCTTAGTTATGTGATAGATATTATGGATGTGCTCGATTGATGATAATTATCTGCATGCGGTTAATAAAGAACATAATTAGTAATTAACGAATGACACATATCATATAGTCTCTTCTTTTCTCCACACCCCATAGACTAAAAAAGTATGGTTGATGTTGTCAAAAAGGGTAACAAATATATCTCAAATGTTCAAAAAGATATCAATGAATTAAAAAGTTAATATCAAAACGTAAGATACCACATCTTTTATTAAAAAAATATAGTTGTTACCTTTTTTTTTAACAACTAATGTTTTCATATAACCACACATTCTTGCAAGTAACTAGAATCAGTGAAACCATTACGAAGGACTTAGAATAAAAACATTCCAAACAATACTAGATTTCGAATCCCTATTTTTTAAAAATGAAAAAGAATTTTAACAATCGTTGCTAAGGGAAAAAATTAAGGCAAAACATTTTGGTAGCGTTTGGTACATAGGACTCGATAGGACAGGGTGGAATTAAACAGGACAAAAATGGGTTGAACCTTATTGAACTGATTTGTTGAAGAATTTTTGGTAAAAGAATTTTTGGTAAAACTAGAATGGTACAAAGCACAATGTTAAAATTACGAAAATGTCCTTCATATGCAAACATTATATTACTTTATACTAATTATCAATAATCTATTTCACAACAAAACATATACACAAACATCATCATTTTGTTTTGTGATTACTAAGGCTACATGAAGTCGTCTCGGTAGCACCTCGGCATTAGTGAGGTGGACGCGGAAAACACAGTCCATGAACTAGGAATGTCGAGCTCGAAGCCCACAATTGGCATGTCGATCAATGGCAAACCAAGTCTCTTTATTCTTCCTCCCTTCTCCCCCACTCGACAAACCACACCCTCTCTTCTTCTTCCATCCTTCTTCCCCCTTTCTTCCTTGTTAGAGCTAAGGTGGAACTCGGTTTGGCCGGTACCACTCTAGTCAGCCTGATAAATCATTTTCACGATGAAACGATGAAAACTTTTTTGAAATATATACTATAATAAATAAAGATTCATTCTGCCACATGTCAATCTCTCATGAGTTTTGATAGTTGTCATTTTGTGGTCTTTTTAAAATTAATAATATCCACATGTGAATTTATCGGTTTTTTTTTTAATTTTTAAAATTAAAAAGCCACATAATATTCTATTTATATATGTAATGTATTAAATATAATTAATGTGATAATAAATTGCAATGGATACATTTCTTCTTTCCCTATTCTAAATACAAATTTTATGAAATTTTCATATTGATGTTACAATATAAAATCAATAATAATAAGCTTTATAATAATTTTCCATTAAAGAATGATTGATTTACAGCCCAAATGAATCATTCAAATGTTATAATCAAGTTCTTTTTTAGCAGCAGAAAGAAATCTTATAAAAAAATAAATTATTTGACTGACGAAAATTTTATAAATGCATATGTTTCTCTACTACATGTTATGATTATTTTTAGTGAGAAAAAAAAAATAAAGATAATATAATTAAACTAATGATAAAAGAAAACATTTATGTGGATTTTAAATTAATAAATTGAACTTTTAAACTTTTGTAGATATGTTACATAAATAGTTATTGTATTTATAAAAATTATCATATATATATATATATATATATATATATATATATATATATATATATATATATAGGCTTAGGTTATTCTATTCTAACTAATTATTGTGCGGACGTATGGACAATGCTATTCTTTGAGAATGATAAAGAAAATATGTTGTTTGATAATATAAATACGTTCAATCTTACATAACTATTGTCATAAACACACATTCTCACTAACTAAATCGTTTATAAGGTATTATACACTTATTATTATTATTCTCATTTCTGTCAGAATGTTTATTGAGTCGTATTCTGTCAGAATGAAAATGAGTGAAAAACGATGTGTGAGAAGAAAAATAAATAATAATTAGCGAGAATGCATGAAAATGACGATATTTTTGTAAGGTTGAACGTATTCGCATTGCTAAACAACTTATTCTCTTGGTAATTTTTATAGAATAACATTGTCCACACATCCGCACAATAATTAGTTAGAATACTTGAACCTAGCTCTCTCTCTCTCTCTCTCTCTCTCTCTCTCTCTCTATATATATATATATATATATATATATATATATATATATATATTCAAAAATTTTATTATGAATAAAAAATGTTAAAAGCAATTATGAGACTTGTCATTTTTAAAAAACATTTAGTGGTTTTGGAGCAAATAAATCAACTTCTAAAGATAGGTTACATGAATACTCATTTTATTTATACAAAAATATATTTGTTATTAGTATATTTTTTTGCCAAAAATATTATTACGAATACGATAGAAAAATGCAAAATGTTACGTGTAAAAACAATTAAGTCAATAATATGTGAGGATGCTTATTACGTTTTGATAAGTAATAAGTTAATATAAAGTTATTTAAAACTATGTTTCGATACCGAATAAATAGAAAACTCTTCCCCGCCCTCTCACACACATACTTTTTGCTAGTCTCATATAATAACTACTTTTTACTAGAAATACAACTTTTCATAAAAAATTTCTAAAATCTTGATTTTCGAACTATGTATGTGTATATAAAGTAAGTTTGAAAATCACGGTTTTCAAACTTGACTAGAAATTTTAAAATATGGTTCGAAAATAATGACTTTTTTGAAAGAGATTATGGTTTTTGAACTCTTAATTTATGACGTAAAGCATCTTCAAAAATATTGTTTTCTTTAAGATTCTCGAACTCGTAACGATTTTTCGAACTTAGTATGGTTTTCAATACTTTAATTTCTAACATAAAGTTATTTCGAAATTTACATATAGGAAGATTTAGAACACAATTATGATTTTTGAATTACTTTAACTATAAAAGGTAGTTCAAAATTATTAAACAATATAAATTCTATTCGAATTCTGTTATAACAATGTTGTAATAGCAATGCACATTCTCTAGGGACGTATATATAATCCTTTTTCATGATTCTCAACTAAAAGATTATCAAAAACGAGAAATCAAGATCCATTTTTTCACATTCTCCTAAGACGTACATATATTGATTTGAAATGCGTTTTGTATAATTGAGAAAGGCTACGAGTTATAGAATTGGGTAATTGTATTATAAAAGCATATAGATAATATCTAAAAGTAATATAGAAAATTGTACGTTTATTCCAAAAATATCTTTTTCACATTTTAAATAAGACAATTCCCACTGGCTATATGTTTTACGATAACAATAAACAAGAGTAAATGACAGTCACTATTCAACGTATGGTTGTTTTTTAGAAGACCGATGTTCGCATATGGGCTGTTGTATGTTGTATTGTCCAGAGTTAAAAGAAGAGATAGATTAATGTTGTAATCAAAGAAGTATTTAGAAATTTGTTATTCTATTCGATTATTTAAAATATGGTAAAAGTTTTTTATTAGTATACATGGAATTACTTATTTATTAATCACTTCATTTGCATTTAATCAAATGCATTGATATTTTACTTTTTTTAATTAACCCGTGTTGTACACGAGTCTTGATGCGTAAAATCTATATGCTAGTTTTGTCCAACTAATTAAATAACTATTACGTCTAAGACAGTGGACCTAATCACAAATAGTATAGCACGAATAGTCGAGGTATCGAACTTAGGGAACGAAATTAGTATACTAACATAACTACTAAAAGATTAATATAAAAGCAAACAATATTTAAAAGGGGTTTGTATCTGATTTTTCAAGTTCATAAAAACTTAAGCACTTAACTAAAAATGGTTTTACTCAATATATTAAAAACACTTTTGTTTAGTTTCGATTCCACCTTTTTCCTATGGTTAGTTACTATTTATGGATTAGTAAAGTTGGTTACCAGTTGTTATGTAATTAGCAATTTTGGTCCAATATACTAATATTTTCACCAATGCATGTACTACTAAGTATGGTCATACACAAGCAAACACAAAATTAGTTATTAATTATAATTTGGCTATGTAAGATTTAGCAAATGCAATTATGATCACAATTATGTTCTCTAGCACAACTAAGTTGTTACTTTTATTACTAAATGTAGATGTGGTCACTCCTAGCTCTAGCATTTTAATGGTCACTAAACTACTAGGTAAACAAGTTCATGTAATTTAATGGCCACTAAGCTACACTAAACTTGAATATAAGCAACAAGGTCACAAACTTTAACATGCTAGGTAATGATAATCAAACACAAGCATAAATCCAACTTTATAAACTCTATAAAACAATAAACTAAACCATAGTTCTAAGGCTTCATCTAGCTAAACGAAAGCAAACTAGTTTAGCTACTCATAGATGAAATCAAACACACAGGTTCATAAATAATTGACACGATCAAATAAACGCAAACCGAATATAAAGTTATAATCTTCAAATTCTTAACCTTCAAGTGATCTCTCCTTCGAAGGTATGTTTTTCACAGGTTTTTTGACCTCCAAATTCGTATATCTCAGAATATCCCCCCGCCCCCAAAAGCTCCTTTAATCGTAAGTAGAAAAAGATTTATATAGTTTTTGAATTTATGTGGCTCACGTTGTGAGGTAGGAGTCTCACGTCGTGAGCTTGGTGTTAATCCGTATCGTGCAAGGATTCTGGCTTCAGCGTACTAATCTTCTAAAAGATCTATCCTCACCTCGTGAGCTTGGTATTTGCTGAAATCTTCTTCTTTTAAGCTCCAATCCTCCAAAGTTCCAATGCTTGTCACTTATGGTCCTTATTCTTCAAGAGTGTCCCATTTTGACTGCAAAATACAATTTAATCCAATAAGTGTCAAATATATTTGCAATTAACCAAAATTTTACTTACCATGTATTAAAATATTGCCTAAAAATGTGTATAAATATGGAAATATCAAAATACTCCACACTTAT